CCCCCCCGTCCCTTGCCCGGTGCCATAGTCTGACCGTCGGTGCCGGACCGGCCCTCGCCCTTGCCCCCGGCCAATGGCGCAGCCACGCCCGGGACCCCGGCGTCGATGGCCCTCTTCCAGAATGAGGTGGCCATCATGTGGCTGCTGCGCCAGCACCCGAACATCGTCCGGCTGTATGGGTACGGCGACCAGCCGCCGGCCATCGTCATGGAGCGCTACCAGGCGGACCTCGACACGCTGCTGCACTCGGAGGTGCCGCTAGCGGGCCCGGTGCTGCTGGACATCGTCCACCAGTGGGCCACCGGCCTGGAGGCCATGCATGCCCACGGGGTGGCCCACTGCGACCTGAAGCCGGCCAACATCTTCCTCACCCAGCAGCCGGATGGCGCCTGGCACGCGGCCCTCGGCGACCTGGGCACCTCGCGCAACCTCTCCTCCGACCGGTCCTCCACCCTGACCGTGCCGATGCCCGAGCTGAATGCCCTGACCGGGCGCTATGCCGCGCCGGAGGTGATCGCCGCCTTCCGGCGGGGCATCATCCTCGAGCGCGACCTCTTCCTCCCGGCGGACATCTTCAGCGCGGCCATCATGCTGTGGGAGTGCCTTGGCCGCATGGCCCCCTGGGCGGGTGCGCATTTGTGGCTTGCCTACGCCCCCCCGACTCCCCTGCCGAAGCACACCGACTGACCCCCCGCCACTTGCGCCCCCCTTCCCCCAGGCAACACCCTGGCGGCCATCTTCGAGCAGGTGACCGCCGGGGGTCGGCCGGCCGCCGGCGCGGTGCCCGTCGCCCCGGAGCTGGCCCCGGTGGCGGAGCCCTTGCGCGACCTCCTCACCCTTGCCTGGGCGCAGGACCCCCTCCTGCGCCCCTCGGCCCAGGCCTTCCGCCAGCGGTGCACCATGTGCCAGGTCACGTCCATGGGTGGCGGCCGGTAGCCCTGGCGGCCGGTCCGGCACGCCCGCGCTCCGAGCCCGTGCATGGCCCAGTAATGGACTCCCAGCCTGTCCTCACGGCAGGTGGCCGGGCCCGCGGTGTGTGTGTGTGTGTGTGTTTGTGTGTGTGTGCATGCGCGGGGGGCGGGGGGGGGATGCCCTCGAAGGGGGGGGCTGGGAAAGGGCCGCGAGCCGCGGCTGGCAGCTTGGACCCCAAGTACCGAGGCAAGGGGTCACACAGGCAAGCGGGCGGGCAGACACGCGGGGGATGCACAAAGAACGGGGCACTCCCAGGGCTCGCGAGCCCCGGACCGCGGGCACCACACGGGGATGCAGGGCCCGACACCGCCGAAGCGCCGCGCGGCCGGGAAAAGAACGGCCACGCGATGTGACTCGCCCCGGGCCGGCGACCAGCCGCCCAAGGGGAACATGGGCCCCTGTCGAATGGCGCGGTTCTGGTGTACCAGACGGCGGGCGAATGGGCCCCGGCCCGGCGCCCCGGCCGGACCCATGAAACCATCGGCCTGCCCCGGGGCCCGGGCCATGGAGCGCCCAGTCCGGCCCCTGTGTTCTACCTGGGCCGAGGCCCGGAGCCCATGAACGGGTCGCGGCTCCCCCATCCCGCAGGGGGGGGGGGGGCGGGCACGCCGACCAGAGGCCAAAGCAGGCCCCGGCAGGGGCGCATCATCTTTCGGAGGGCATGTCCGCGTGTGTGTGCGCGCATGGCCCGGGCATCAAATGTTTACCCCAATATATTGATGGCCATTTCGTTTGCCGGATATTCATGCCGAGGGCCCTTTCCGGACGGCCGCATCGCCTGGCGGTCTGAGCGCCCGGCCGGGCCCCGGGCCGCCGGCCCATTTAAATGCCCCGACCGGCCGGGCCGCATGCGGGGACTCGCCGGCACCCCTTCCCCGCTAGATCCCCCGCCTCCCTCCCTCCCTCCCTCCCCCCCCCCCGCCCTGCCCTGCCCTGCCCGGGCCTCCCCTGCCCCGCCGCGCTCGCCGCCTCTCGCCCGCATCCACGCCATGGGCCGCCGGCCCCTCCTCCCGGCGCCCCGGCGGGTCTGGGCCATCGCCCTGTCGCTGGGCCTCCTGCTGGGCGCACACCTGGCCGGGGCCTGGCTCGACACACTGGGGGCCCGGTTCGGGCCGGGCCGGCCGGCGGCCGACAGCATGGCCGCCCTGAGCACCCCCCCGCCGGAGGTGCACCTGATGCGCTCGGCCCGGCCGCTGTCGCCCCTCGGCAGGACCCCCTTCCTGGGCAGCTACCAGACCGGCGCCGAGGCGTGGTACATCCGCCTGCTGTCCAACTACCAGGCGGCGGTCTTCAACCAGGCGCAGGTGTTCTTCTCGCTCTTCGCCGACCAGCGAACCGGGTGCACCTTCGGCACGGCGGTCGCCAGTGTGCTTGGCGCGGCCGACATGCCGGGGCCCTTCAACTATCCGATCCTGCCGGTGGCATCGCCGGGCGCCCTGCCGGCGCTCTTTGCCTTCGACGCCCAGTCGGTGGCCCTGTCCCTGGCCTCCGGGCCGCGGATCCATCGGATTGGCAGCTTCAATTTGCTGGCGGTGTCGGCCCCGTCGGGCGCCGTGGTGCACATGCTCATCTGGCACCATGGCGATGAGCGGTTCTACGTGGGCCAGCTGGAGGACCGTGGGCTCTTCCTGTTCCAGGTGAACCTGGATGTGCCCCTGGCGCCGGCCGGGGCCCGCGCCGCCGTCGGCCATGGCAACACCTTCCACCTGTGGAGCGGCGGCTACTACGCGCGTGTGGTTGTGCCGCCGGTGTCGCCGCCGGCCGGGGCGGCCGTCGGCCTGCTGACTGGCCGGATGCCCGCGGCCGAGGTGGAGGCCACCTCGGCCGGCGTGCTGGCCGGCGCCGATGGCCCGGGCGGCCCGGGCGGCCCGGGCGGCCAGGCGGCCGGCGCGGCCCTCTTCCACTTTGTGGATGTGGCCTCGACGCGGCTGGTGGCCGGCAGTCCCGAGGACACGATCGCCCTCCTGGACAACGGGGTGATGTACATCTGCCGCGGCAGCCATCTGGCCAATTGCCCGGCCCCGATGCAGGTCCCGGTCCCGGTGGCCGACCCGTCCGCCGGGAGGCTGCTCGTGCCGAGCACCCATGAGCTCGGCCACCCGATCAGCTGGCTGGTGCTGCGCGAGTCGCAGCCCGGCCCCCAGGCCGGGGTCTTCTGGCAGGCCACCCTGCAGCCGGAGACCGGGGCCTTTGCCTTCTGGCTGAAGATGGTGCTCCCGGCCGGTGCCGAGGCGCCCGCGGCCCTGCGGCCGGTGGCCATGCGCGTCAACGACCTGAACATCGGCCGGTGGGCCCTGGCCGGGGAGTATCTCTACCTGGACGGGCAGTCCTTCGGCTGCGGGCTGGACCCCACCATCGTCTGCAGCACGCCGGCCGCGCCGATGGTGGAGGCCCCCTCCATCGGGTGGGTGTGCGCCCCCGGCAGGGTTCTCTCCTTCTTGGCCAACCAGGCGGAGTTGTGTGGTGCCTGCATGGCGGGCTGGCGGCTTTCCGTGTCTCCGAATGGCCAGCGTGCGTCCCCGCCCCCCCCCCCCTCGCCTGCTTCGCCGTTGTCGGGTGGCCCTTTGCACGTGCGTGCAAGTGTGGCGATGCATGCGGCCGACGAGCTGACCGTCTCCGCCCTGCCTCCGTTCTGGACCTGGCTGTCCCTTCTTTGCCTGTGTCCGTGTCTCTGATTCCCTCTGCCCCATCTCTTCCATTCTCTCTTCCATAACCTTCCATTCTCTCTTCCATTCTCTCTTCCATAACCTTCCATTCTCTCTTCCATTACCTTCAATTCTCTCTTCCATCACCTTCCATTCTCTCTTCCATCACCTTCCATTCTCTCTTCCATCACCTTCCATTCTCTCTTCCATCACCTTCCATTCTCT